CTAATACTGAACAATATTCATCTGAATAATTATTATCGATGCTATCTAAACTATGCCTCCATTCCCTGAGATTAAATTTTCCTAATGACATTAATTCTTTTGATTCTCTTATGAATTTTTCCAATTCTTCTGATGTGTTAACACTTGTGACACAATTGTCAACGTAAAACGATTCTTGCAATTTTCTTGCTGTTTGCTTTAAATGACTTGGAGAATTCATTAAATGGTAATTAATTGTTGCACCTAATAAAAAAGGACTTGATTTTAGGCCAAAAACTACCCTACAGTGTCTATATATTTTCTTTTTTCCAAGTGGGTAGTTTTCCCACCAAAAAAATCTTAAATGATCCCTATCTTTAGGAGTGACACTAATTTGTAAGAAAGCCTTTTCAATGTCGGCTGTAACCCCTATTAAACCTATTCTAAACTTTAATATGAGTGAGGGAATGAGTTCTAATAAATTAGGTCCTTTCTGTAAACATTCATTCAATGAATTACCTCTTAAATCTTTAGCTGACGCATCGAACACTGGACGAATCTTCGTTGTTTGGCTGGATTCCTTCAGTACAGCATGATGAGCTAGATAGTGGATATCTTCACATGTAATACTTGGGACTATTTCTATAATTCCTAATGTTTCCCATTCCTCCAAAACTCTTTCATAATCTTTAAATCTATTAATTGCAATTAATTTTTTACTGGTAGATTGCAATCTAGAGACCGCTAATTCTTCATTGCTTAAAACCATCACATTATCATCAATCCATGGAAGATGAATTTCATATCTTCCTTCTTGATTAATTACTATTTGCTCATTGAATAATTTCAAAGTATCTTCCTCCATGCAATGTTTACCTTTTACTTCGGATGGATCTGATATACCTAAAAGTTCTAAATTCCATAAATCAGGTATGGAAAAACTACTAACACCAGAAAAAATTGTATTTGTACAGTTACAATTCTGACCCATAATTGTCCACCCAAGGTAAGTCTCAACAGCTACAAGAGCATCTTCTAAACTTTCTATTTTTCCAGTTAATAATTTTCCAAAAATATCTGCCCCTAGTAATAATTCAATTTCTGGCGAGCAGTTATTCATATCTGTATCATTTATTAAAATATTCTTACGTTTTAAATAATCTAAGTAATTTTGATTGTTTATTCTAGGAATATGATTGCAAATTTTTTCCTGATCTAAAACTGCTAAATTGACTTTAAAACTTCTATCTAAATTTTGGATATGTAGGTCATAGACTCCATGTATTTTTGGTAACGTTTGATTGCCTCCAAAAACATTTTGTATTATTACCTCCTCTCTATTTTTAATCAAACCTAATTCTTTAGCGGATTTAGATAAAATATATGATCTTTGTGAACCAGAGTCTAACAGTGTGCGAATAACTTTCTCTTTTCCATTGTTTATTAATCTTACCAAAACGGTTTGTAAAAGGGTACCGCTTTGTATGTTACTTGTTAAAGTATTTTCAACATTTCGAGATTCTGAAGAAACTGAAGCATGATGAGTATCTTTTTTCTCTACTAGATTAGGGCACATTATAGGAAAGTGTTTTCTGGAACAAACTATACAACGAACGAAAGTTTTACAAAATTTACTAGTATGATTTACTTTTAAACAGCTAAAGCATGCCTTTTTAGCCATAACTTTAGATTTTCTATCTTCTAAAGAAAGGTTCTGCGCTTTCAAACAATTTTGACTTAGATGTGAATTCGAATTACAAAATAAACAACTCACAGGTTTTTTAGTTTGAAAATTACTTGTATATAGAGCTGCGGCTGTATATGTTTTATCCTTGTTACTCTGTTCCGCCTTGTTTTCCTGTTTTTCCTTTCTGGACGTAGAACTGGAACTTTTTGCAGCTACTTCTTCAACTCCAAAAGTATTCTGTGCCAGGTTCATTCTTTCTTCTGACTCCACTTCGCTTCTCAAAAAATCTAATAACATTGACAAAAAATTACAATTATTGACTGTATTATTATCTCCTGCTGTATATTTATTTAAACTACGATGTCTCTCCCAAATTCTTAAAATTTCTTCTGGCAATGCTGACTCAACTAACGGAAGTAACATTGCAGCATACTTTTCACTAGTTACCCCTAGACTTTCTAATGCTTTTAGTTGAGTTTCTAATTTAATATATAAATCTGCTAACGTCATACCTGTCTTTTCTTGTTTAAGTACTAAATTTAGGAGTTCCCTTACGTAGACTTCAATTAAAAGTTCGTCCCTAGCGAAACGTGCTTTCATTTGGTCAAGTGCCTTTTGATAGTTGGACCCCGATGGCGGAAAACTTTCAACTAATTCTCTTGCTGATGAACCCTTCTCTGTCGCTTGAAGTAAATACTGATAGGGTCAATTCACTGGTTATCCGGCCAGCACTGGATATCGGCCTTTTTATCGTTTAAGGCCAAATAATAAGAAAATAAAGTGTCATGGGCTTATTGTCAGTACTAAACAAGTTCCCGGCATCTTTTATCTATCCAAAGTGGTAGGGGTTGGTTTGGTATTGTAAGGGATAAGCGCGGGAAAAAGGCTTCTTTCTTGTCCTGACAATCAGCAGAAAACACATGCGTTTTAAATGTAAAAGTGCCTAATAGTGTGAATCAACGAAATAGTAAATATTTGATTATTTTTTTATTCCAGGTGCATGCAATATGTTTCACATAGTAGATGAGGGGTTAAACTATGTAAATTTGTGTTACAATTGAGCAAAAACTGGTTTTATAATTAAAATTTCTAGTGGCCGCGAACCAGTATTAAAAAAATATGTTTTTTTAGATCTCGGCCAAAGGGGCCGAGAATTAATTTAAGAAGTAAAGTTTTGATCTTAAATAAAATTATGAAAAACGAGTTTAAATGTGCTTTTGTTTTTATTTTTCTGTTTATTTACATGATTACTTTTTAAGTATTGGTTTGCGGCCGGTAAATTAAGTATGAAATGTAGTTTATTTGATTAATAAATATTTTGATAAATGTAGTGGCCAAGAACTAGCGCTTGTCGGCCAACCCAAAAAATGTGGGGCCGAAAACTAATATGTACAGTGATTTTGGTTCTCGGCCCTTTAAAAACCTAGTGGCCGAGAACTAGCGTTTCTCGGCCACTACGAAAAATATGGGGGCCGAAAACTAATATTTACAGCGGTTTTAGTTCTCGGCCTTTAACATGAGTGAGGTTTCTTTGGCGTATTGAAGAGTGAATTATCATAAAATGAGGAAGATTAGAAAAATGCCTTTGCAGGACAGGCTGCTTGCAGTAAGAATTTTGGATGTGTTGAGAAAAACAGGCCCAACACCACTATTTAGCGGTTAAAGGGGAGACAGATGCTTTTGGATACAGTTTCTAAGATAAATGCAGATTCTAATCTCAATTTATTTAAAGGCGGAATACCAAAACATGGTAGATGAATTTCATAGCCGATGGAATAAATAAAGCTTAAACAGCAGTTACATAACAATCTGTGAGAAAATGGTTTCAGAACCTAGAACAATATTTAAATGAGAATATTTTGTGTTTTGTAATCCTAATATCCTAGAAGAGTGTTCAATGAAGAGTAATCAGGTTTCGCACTCCGTCAATCTAGTGGCAAAGTGTTTGGTCTAAAAGTTTTTCGAAATCATAAAAAAAACATTTTTATAATTCTTGTTTAATGCTAAAGGAAAATTTGCTCCTCCACTATATTAGGTCTGTCATTGATAATGTGCCAGGTGCGTTGGATTTTGGGAAAGTCGGAGAAAGTATGGTTGACATGATTTTTTTTTAATTATAATGGCTTTAACAACTGGTTTTTGTGTGGCCGAGAACTAATATAAAATTGGCCGAGAACTGTGAGGGGTGGCTGAGAACCAACAAATACGCACTTTTTTTAGTTTTTAATGTTTCAATACTATAAAGTTAAAAACACAACAAAAATTCATTTCTAGACCACTAGAAAACACTCCAACGGACATTTTTTTATAAAAGCAAATTACAATTTAAAGACTTCCTCTATATCTATTTGGAAGATAAAGTCGATTTTTACGCTAAAAGGCCGAAAACCAGTGCACTGACCCTACTTGTCATCCAAATCAATTTCTTCATCTTCGTCGATTTTCCTAAACTGTCCCCAAAATCCTATCCAATTTCTAACATTTCCGTCAAATTTTCTTAATTCAATTTTCGGTAAAGTGAATTTTCTTTTGCTTTTCATCCTACCCATATCTTTCATGCTTGATTCTTCTTCTTGATCTCTTGATTGAATAGCAAAGTCGCATTGTACTCTATAGTAGTTCATCTGTTCTCTAAATGTTTCTGCTTCTAGAAATTCCTCTTCTAAATCTTGTTTTGTTGCCTTTTCTAGGAATAGGCCTTGCTGAATACTTTCATCTATACTAAAAATTCTATTACTTTTATCTTCTAAATTTTTTAACAAAGCTAACACTTCTTCAATCTTGATTATCTTATTTGTTAGTGCTAGGTCTAATGCCTTACAAGTTTCTGTGAAACTCTTGCGTAATATCGAACGATGAATCTTGAAATTATCCATATCTTACTGTCCTGTCACGGTCGCCAATAAATGTAAGGAGTTGATGGATAATTTGTCTTAAACCTTAATAAAAATGATTCACCAAATTGACTTCTGATAAATATTTTATTTTCTTATTAAGTCAATGTGACAATACCAAAAAACATATACCGGGTGAGAAACTATCTCTAACACATTCATTAATATAGGGATCATTAATCAACAATTTTGTGTGCGTTAGAATACATCATAAATGGTCGGTCGACGGAAATAGTACATTAAACAGTTATTTTATAAAAGTAGTAAAACATCGCTCATCTCTCTGTTAGTCTATTTTATGATTTTACTGAACTACAGTGTGACCCATAGAAAAACTGTGTGACCTACCCTACAGTATTGTCTATAGGCAACCTGAAATACATTTCGTAGTATTTCTGGTTGCCACTATTTATTTATTTATTTATTTATTAAATATCTAACCTCAACCTTTCAACAAGCCGAGAAGTAAATAAAAAACATTCTAAATCATTAGTTATTGTTGTTCAAGTAAAGTTTAAGTGATCTGTGGATTCCAGAAAATGTCTAATCTAAAATCAAAGAAAATAAGTATAAGCAATTTCTGCAAGCTTATTCCAAAAATCGTAAGTTCTTCAAACATATTTTAAATTTACACAAAGTGTTTTTATTATTTACTATTTTTAAAATATTTTGTACCATTTTAAAAGAGAATTTGGTAAAATAAATATTATAAAAACTATCGCTCCATTTTCCTGATACACACAACTTTGCCAAGGAATTTGAAATTTGTATATATACAACACTAAAAGGCTAGTAAAAGTAAAGAGAAGCAAAAATACAATTAGATACAATAACGATAGAAACAGATTTTTTCAAAGCTTTCGATAAATTGGACCATTCTATTCTGAATTACAAATTAAGAAATCTTGGATTTCCTAGAAGTCTACTTAACTTTTATTCAATCTCATTTGAACAATAGATCCCACTTTGTTGAATGTCTAAGTCTAGGGCATACATCTCAGATTTTTACAGCAACTAGTGGAGATCTACAAGGCTGCAATCGAACATTATTATTCACATTATTTATTAACCATATAGGTGAAAACCTAAAAAGCAAGGTACTATTGTTTGTTGATAACTTAAGCAAATTAGAGTTTTGGTGTTCTAAAAATAAATGTTATCAATCCACTTACTTATGAATTATGTTTTTATTTATCATTTCCAGAATAAATGTGTTTAAATTCTCCTATATATGCAATGTATATAACACATTCAGTAAATTGTGTAATCAGGTTGAGTAATATTCCACAAATTTACATATTTTATTCAAACAGAATGTTATGAATTTTCTCATTGAAAATAATTAAAAGTACTGAAATTTCGATTATGTAAGTTTTAATTAAATATTAAATTATTGTAAAATTATTATAAAGCATTTTGTAGCTAAATTAAATTTTATCCTGTAATTGAACCATAGGTCTGTTTGGATAATTAAGGACTTTCTTTTCAAAATTAGGAACTCCATGCTCATTTAAATGGTTCTCTAAACGAAGACATCTTAAAACAACTTGGTTGCGATGAAACGTCCATTTCTGAATACCAAAAATTAACAGAGATCTTAAATAAAACATCTAGAAACCTAGACGAATGCTTCCATCTTTTTCCTATTGCTCACAATGCCACAAAAACAAAAGAAAAACTATATATGGCAACCAAAAGTGTTATCAAAGATTTCAAAAAGGATAATACGATTTATTTAGAACTTCGTACCACTCCTAGAAGTGAAGAAGACATGAGCAAAGAAGAGTATATCGAAACGGTTGTCAAGTGCATCAATGATTGTAAATCCAAATATAAGATTTTGGTAAAATTAATTTTATCCATAAATAGACGCCAGGATGATAATAATGCAGAAGAGAGTTTAAAAATCATTATTAAAATGAAAGAAAAGTACCCCGATATTATTAAAGGAATAGACTTGAGTGGGGATCCAAAAGTAGGGACTTTTAATGAAAATCTCTTTGAAAAGGCCAGGATAGCAGGACTAAAAACTTCTATACACTGCGCTGAAGTAAAGAATAATGAAGAGGTTAAGAAAATTTTGGATTTTGGACCTGACAGATTAGGCCATGCTGTGTGTTTGCATCCTGCTTATGAAGGCTCCCAAGAAAACTGGGATTTGTACTTACAGAAAAAAATTCCAATTGGTAAATATAAAAAAATGCCCTTTTTTCGAACTTATATTCATAAAGATGTTAAACTCATTTGTTTTGTAGACTCCAAATTGTAGTATCAGATATTTTAGCTAGAAGTAAGGAAATTGCCATCACATTCTTTCATTAAATCGAGTGTTGCCAACTAATTTTAACAGCAATTCCCAGACATGTATACAAAATTATAATACTTCCACAATTTTTTTATGTAAAACAAACAATAACTACTTAAAAATAAAAAAATTCAAATAGAATAAAAAATACTATCATTAAAAAAAACAGGTATTTAGGAAAAATCTGATGTGTCCAATACATGACTTTCCTGTCTTATCTAAAGTGGTTAAAGACTTTTTTTGGTTATTTTGTAAATACATACATTTTCTACACATATCTTACTCGAAACATTTTTTTTTGTATATATTCTTTGCCAATGACTGAAAAATTAAAATTTTACACTTTTCTTCAAACTTTTCCATTATGCTCCATTTTAGGGAAATCATGTATAAAACAAAAATTATGCAAAATGATATCGCAAACAACTTTTATTTGAACAATTTCCTTAAAAATACGAATTTTCCCTTTTTGTCAAATTTCTCAAATACAAACCATTTTAGGGAAATCATGTATAAGACAAAAATTATAGAGAATTTCATTACAAGTATCTTTTATTTAAAGAATTTTCTTCTCTAAGTGTAAGTAACTGATACATTCCTTAGAAAGTAGAAAAACGATCCTTATAAAGTAACCCCCAGATGCTCCAACTATGCCCAAAATTTAATCAACTCGTTATAGGATTGAGTAAAGCTTAAGTTTTAAATTTGGTCTCCCTTTATCCGTTTTTGAGTTATTGAGGAAACGTTAAAAAATCGTTGAAAACAATCATGATTCCTATAATTTCATTCTGTGTACAGACAAGAAAATAGTAAACAAGTAACGAATGCTAACAAATACAAAATACTCGTTTTCTACGACTAAATCAAAATACCAAAAATTGAAATATAAAAAATCAGAAACATAAAATGGTTTTTCAAGGACGTTAGACTGTCAGAATTATCAATTTTCTCAGAAAACTTACTTCAAATGACCACAGAACTCAAATAAAATTAACAGAAATAAGAACTAAGTTTTTTGAAATAAAAACCAGTTAATTCAGCCCAAAATTCATACCGAAAATATCATTATCGATCATCAAACGTTTTAATTACTTATCGAAAAACAGTAGCGAAACTAACATCGAACACCAGTGTTGTATTTAAGCCGGCATTAGACTATAAAATATATTTGACAAAAATGTTATATAATAGCTGTTTATGAAACCAGTTACAAAATGCCTTATTTTATGTAACGAGTAAAAAGTTTGATTAAATTATTTATAAAATTGTGTTTTGGTAAAAATTACTGACATCTATGCAACCAATAATACTTTCTCGTATTGATAGTTGCATGTACATAACTTCATTCAATTTATTGACAAACAGAAAATCATTTATTTATATTGCTTGTTAAAGTTATTTAGTTTTCAAGAAAGTGGATTATTTTGTCGCGTATTGTGTTATCAGGTGCGTTTTAATCATCCGTTTCTGCTTCCGGAATTGTCGGTTTAGTCGTTTTAACCTGTCAGATTAAAACAAGAAAACTGACAATTCCGAAGCAGAAGTGGATGATTAAAACGCACCTTTAATTATTTTGTGCTGATTTAAAAAATAAATAAAACGAATTTTGCTATAAAATGTTGAAGCACATTTGTATTTTTTAAAATATCCAATTATAAATATTTTTAAACAAAAAAAATACACTGGTAGATGAGTGTATTATATTTTAACTGGTCTTTTAGATTTTAGATATTCGAATGAGCTAAAAAATATCTGAACAAAATTATACTCCTATGATCAACCATCAGCGTGCACAAGAAATTCCCATACTTTAACTTTATTTTAGTTTTTTCCCATTTCCACATTTTTGTAGTAAAAAATTCTATAATATGGGAAAATTCCCACAGATTGGCAATACTGATTGAATTGAATCATTGTGTTTACAAATATCTAATTAACTTTATCCTTTTTATTTACTCGTATTAAACATTAAATAGGGCGGTTTTGTCGAATCTACCATATGTTTTCTGCATTTAGATATGTAATTTACATGGTAAAAACTATTTTTTTTTTTTTAATTTTTAGAATTAAATCGGAGAGCATTGACTTTTTTAAATTTTAGTAATGATATAATTATTATTACTATAGCTGAATAATATTACTAGATCGTAATTAATTTGTTTGCCAAATATTTTTCCTGGCAAACTTGGCAACGTTTTATGCACTTCTTAAAACAATGTTTAGAAAATGCGAATTTAGACAGATAAACAACGTTGCCACGTTTTCCAGATAAAGCATTAGGTACACAAAATTACGGATTTAAGTACTTAATAAATATTAGTTGAAAATTTTAATAGGAATTATAAAATCATTGTATTTAACTGATTTCGATTTACTTTATTTAAAAAATAATTAAAAAAAAAAGTTTTTATATCGCCTATTTATCTGAAAAATCTTATTTAATGTGAAAGGCTACCTCAAATTTCTGCAAATATTTGTTTTTTTTTAAAGTGGTGGTAGATAAATTGTTGTTTGACCCTTATTGCGATTAATGACAAAGCGCAGCATAATTTTCGCAACTCGTGCTCAAAAAGATATTTTTATCATTTTTTAATATGTTGTGTTTTAGAATGCTGTCTTACGTCGAATGTCATTTGTGGAACCGTCGAACGATACGAAGAACATCATATTCAAGAATTGATCAATTTAAGATTACCATTCTCAATTTGTGTAAGTCAAATGTCTACTGAAAATTATCGAATTCGACAAAAAATGACTATCTAAACCTCAAAATAAAACATTTTGAACAAATAAGAGACGTTTGTGTATCATCAGGCAACCATTTTGACAGGACGTTAGAATGTCTAATTATGTAAATTCGGGATTACAGCAATCGGTCATTTATTGGTCACGTGATCTATCAACAGTACATTTTGTTGAATATTAGAAAATTCTTTATACAGGGTGTTTCAGAATAATGTACCTTGAACTAGGGGACATGTAGATTTTAATAAATTAATAAGAAAAGCTAAATATAATTTTCTGTAAACGCAGGGCAGATCCTAGGGGTGTCGGACGCCCGCGTAGGCCTAATGTGCCGCCTCTCTAGAGAATTTTTCATATATTGACTAATACTTAACGTTGACGTTATAAACTCATCTACCTGTATAAACTCCATGAAGGCTTTCCTGAGATCATTATTAGAAATGTTGCGAAACTCATATAGAAATTAGAATAATGAATAGCACTTAGTTAATAAGGTAAATCTTTCATTTACCGAAGAGATCGCGTGATCAAGAATTGCAAAATAGAAAGCAGTCTTGAATTTCTGGAAGGAATTTGAAACTGGTTTATGACTGCCCTCGTAATCAAATAAACGGACCTGTTTCCTGAGCTTCGAGATGGAAAATTTGGAATCAGTACCTAAATCTCTAGCAAGTGTTTTTCCTGAATCGACAAATATTTTAAAATTATCGTCAGATCTTTGTGAACCTAAATATTTTTTAAGATTATCTAAGCCTTCAATGCAATGCTTTTTACCCAATACATCAGTTCTTGATAATAAAGCAGGCCAAATTAAAATTGGACACACAAATTTAAATGTTTCAAAAGTTTTAATTTTTGATTCAGCATCCATTTTGTTTTCGTGTCTCTGGTGGTACCTTCAAATAAGGCATTTAATGCAGTAATGTTTTTTAGGTCTTGTTTTAGAAACATTTTTTTATATATATATTCATTGCCAACGAAAATACTAAAAAAAAAATGACACTTTTCTTCAAATTTTTCCATTACGGTCCATTTTAGAGAAATTATCAAATTTGCACTTTTTTTCAAATTTCTCGATTATGGTCCATTTTAAGAAAATTATAGAGAATAACATTGTAAGCAACTTTTATTTAAAGAATTTTCTTTTCCAAGTGTAAATAACATATATTCCATAAAATAGAAAAACCACCCCCTGCAAAGTACCCCCAGATGTTCAGACTATGCCCAAAATTTAATCTGTTTACCGCAGGATGGATTAAAGCTTAAATTTCAAATTTGGTGTTTTCTTCTTTATCCTTTTTTAGTTATCTTCAAAATTCGAAATTTGCATTTTTTTCTCAATTATCTCGAATGCTGCCCATTTTAGGAAAATTATGTATATGACAAAAATTATAGAGAATAACATTGCAAGCAACTTTTATTTGAAGAATTTTCTTTTCCAAGCGTAAAGTTATTTATATATCTGTTAAGATATATTCCATAAAGTAGAAAAACTATCCCCTATAAAGTATAGTTCTTCCATTATCAATTGCAGAACATAAAAACTCGTTCGGAACCTTTACCGACAATTTTGTTTGATCTGCCATAGGCCATAGGCATTTTATAAATTTATTTTATAAATACTTTTAATATATATCATATGCAAGAAAGTATTCGTTAAAAGGAAATCGAATCATTATAAATTGGACGTTATTATACGCCTTGATTTAGACATATACACTTAATTGTAGTCTTACTTGGACTTAAAAAAAAATCATTATAGCTCGGTAACTTGCTACAACTGAATATTATTATTTATTGTTTCGGCCTTTACTTGATGAAAATCCATTTTATCTTGAATGAGTAAAACTAAATTTGGTAGATTTTCACAAAATTTTTATTTAAAAAAATTAAAAATAAAAATTAAAAACATAATGATCAATTAAATATTAATAACTCACCCCTTATTAAATCTTTTTTCCTAGTTTTCTGTGAGATAATCCCGGTAATGTTACTATCTTATTGTTATTTGTTTGATATCATAATTACCTAAATACCCTTATTTACTTTAAATAGTTCGTTTATTTTGTTATGGTATTGATGTTTTCTTAAGTACTTTGTTTTGTTAAATTATTTCGCATATATATTGGATACCGAATTGTAAATTAGTCACATTTGAAAAAGAAGTTGTACTTCGAAACATGTCATGTGTAGTGTTTTAATTTTAATTTTTTATTTTTTAAAATAAAAGTTTTGTGAAAATCTACCAAATTTGGTTTTACTCATTCAAGAACTGAATATTAAATTATAAAACGTAAAAAAGCGAGTAAAGTGTACCTGCCTGTAAGGGCGTTTGGTTTAAACAGGGTACCAGACGTGAACTGAGCCCTTTTTGTACCCCATTCGTTTTTTTTTCTGGAAAACAAAATTTCAAAGCAAAAACCATAAAGGAAAATAAATTCTTTGCAAATAAAACAAAAGAAAAAAAAACAATTCAATTCTAAAGTATCTTTATAAATAATCATGGCAGTCTGAATCATCTGAACTAGAGTCATCATTTGGTTGAATTGTGATGGGTTGTAAAGAGGGTGATACTACATACTCATCTTCTTCTTTAATAACATGTTCGACACAGTTTTTCCAAAGCTCTTGGCGGTCTGCTGCTAGAACTTTCTTTACGAGTTCTACAACCTCTTTACTCAGTTCTGGAGACTGATTACATTTTCGTAATTCTGACTTTACGTTTGCCCATATTAACTATTTAGGGTTAAATATGCAATAGTAAGGAGGTAGTCTGAGAAGAGTATGACCCTGTTCTTTGCACAGCTTGTCAATATAATAAATTTTTTCCAACTTCATGCCTTTAATAACAGTAAGCAATTCTTTGTTTGTTGGGCCTTTTTACGATCACTGGCAGGAATAGGAATATTTTTTTCAGACATAAACGCTAAAATTTGAGCTTTGTTACTGCTACTATTTGGTATTTTAAGGAGTTGCCGCGAGTGGTAGGATGCGTTGTCCATAACGATTACTGACTGTGGTGGAATGTTAGGTAAAAGCTGTTCATTAAACCATTTTTCAAATAATTCTGCTGTCATATCTTCATGATAATCAGCTGCACAGTTTTTAATTTGTTTAGCAGATAATAATAAAGCACTAGGCACGAAACCGTCTTTGCTTCCAGCGTGTACTATTATAATACGTTTCCCTTTAAAACAAGGCCCATTCAAACAGCAATTTTTACTACTATCAACCCAACCGAAATTTACTACATCGTGACTGTCAAACCATGTTTCATCTAGATAAATTATGTGTCTATTAGAACTTATGTACTCTTTTATCTGACGCAAATAATCTTGTCGCCATTGAACTATCCTTGACGATTCGGTGATTGCCATCCGTTTATTCAATTTTTTGTGTTTAAAACCACATGCTAACAAAACTTGACGCAATGTTTTCAAACTGGTATAAGTGTATCCTGGAAAATCTGCTACCTTTTGCTGTATTACTTCCAATGTTGGAACTCTGTTCTCCTTATATAAACTATAAATTGTCCTTCGTATAAAATCTTGGGTAGCTCTGTCAACTGATTTCAGTTTTTCTTTACATGTTTTTCGGTTTTGTGAATGATCCACAGCAACCCCTTTTGTGACTACCCGATAAATGGAAAATTTATTTACTTTAGTTAATTCAGCAATTCTTATTATGATCGCATTATCAGACTGCTGAATATTTTCCTTTTTTAAACATTCGAATATATTTAAAATAACTTGTTGTGTTTGTATATCTAAATCCTTATCGTTAATGTGCAATTTCATTTTCTTCATTCGCCCACGGTCTAAAGAACGCCATATTTCTATTTATTAAAAGACATTTAACCACACATACAAAACACACCGCACGACAGTACTCCACTGATATCGCAGACTGTCTTCTAGGAATATTTTCGAACACTCCTGCCCTCCGTAAACCTTCGGCCAATACAGTGCATTTAAGTTTACGATTCGATGTTTTCATTGGTAAACAACGGAGATGATGGATTTTGACACATATATATATCAAGTACACGTGGACTGACCGTTCGTTTAATATTTACCGCATTGTATAAGGGGAGTAAACATTATTTTTCGTTTCTAAATTTGGCATGAGTGCCGTGCGTATACAGGGTTGGCCAAACCTCTGTCGTAGTTCTATAACGCCTACTATGCAAATCTTAACGATTTATTTGATGTATACCTGTCAATGGTGGCCAATACCAAATATCCCAAAATTATTTTCTTGTGTACAGGGTGGCCCAATAGTAAATTAGGCAAATCACTTAATTTTTTTAAATGGAATGACCCAACTTTTTTTACAATTTTAGGTACTCTATGGTCACTAGTACATACCCACAAAATATTGTTTCTAAAATCCCACCCCTTTCGCAGAAATAAAAAATTACCAAAAAATATTACATTTTCTCGATTGTATAAAGCCAATAGACCAAAGATTTTTTTGGACCAAGTTTGAATTTTTTATTTTGTACAAGGGTGGTCACAAATTAATTTCACTTTCCAAAAATTTCGAGGGAAATTTTTTAAAATTTTTCAAATGTATTACCCTGTATTTCTATTCATCAACTGAAGGAGAATTTCATACCCTTCCACTTCCCTATGTACTTTCCTATACCTATCTGTCGCCGTTATAAAATAAATTCAAAAGGAAGAAAATTACGATAATAAAATTTATTTGAAATTTATCCTAAAACAAATTTACATTTTATAAAAGATGCTCAAAATGTCTGCCATTTTCTCTAATGCATACATTTATTCGTTGGGCGAATGATCGAGAAACGTTTCTAAGCATATCAGGTGTAATGGAATGGAAAGCTTGCACTATCCTTTCTTTCATATTTTCAGGTGTTGTAGGTGGCGTAAGATAGACTAGATTTTTAATATAACCCCACAAAAAATAATCGGGTTTTGTTAAGTCAGGTGATCGAGCTGGCCATTTTTTTGGACCATTTCTACCAATTCATCTATTTGGAAACTTTTCATCTAATTCATCTGCCACTTCGCGTAAAAAATGCGCAGCTGCCCCATCATGTTGGTACCACATTGTTAGTCTTACAGCAAGGGAAATGTTTTCAAGTAAAGTAGGAAGATGATTTGCTAAAAAATCTAAATACATCAGATCATTTAAGTTGCCTTCAAAAAAATACGGCCCAATAACATGATCCCCAATTATACCTCCCCAAACATTTACACTCCATCTTTCTTGGCTATGTGTTCTGATGATGTTAGGATTTTCCGTGGAATAATAGTGGAAATTATGTCTATTAACGAATCCGTTCTTGTGGAATGTAGATTCATCAGAAAACAGCACTCTATAAGAAAAAAAAAATGGATTTTTTTGCAATTTAGTTTGTGCCCAGTTACAAAACACCATTCTATTATCAAAATCGGTGTCTTTCAGCTCTTGATGCAATTGTATTTTATAAGGATGATATTGATGCTGTTTTAAAATCCTTCTAACGGATGTTCTACTTATACCTACTACTTCGGCAATCTTTTTTTGACTTACATGAGGATCTTCTATCGCTGTCAAAATTACAGATAATTGGTTATCATTATCAGTAGCACGTTTGTCAATTATTGGTTTTTTATAAGCAACATTTCCTGTTTCGGTAAATCTTTCATGTAACTTTTCAAAACTTTTTTGATCAGGGATGCGTCTATCGGGATATCGTTGATGATAAATTCTTTTTGCCAATAAACAATTTCTGTCGGATTCTCCCAAAACATAGACCATGTCAATTAATTCGTTTTTCGTAAAATTCATTATTAATAGAAGAATTATCGCGATCAGTAAAAATAACTTGACACTTCATTAATAAATAATCTGACACTCTATTAAGACCCAGCCTACTTGATTGAATGTTCACTTTCAATAAAACCACTGGTAGAAATTGGATTTTTGATAGATCAATGTCTTTTTGGAATTTACTTTTAAACGACGACAGATAGGTATAGGAAAGTACATGGGGAAGTCGAAGGGTATAAAATTCTCGTTTCATCGATGAATAGTAATACAGGGTGTTCTATTTGAAAAATTTGAAAAAAATGTCCTAGAAATTTTAGGAAATTGAAATTAATTTGTGACCACCCTGTACAAAATAAAAAATTAAAACTTGGTCTAAAAAAATCTTTGGTCTATTGGCTTTATACATTTGTAGTTTTTTAAATTCTAACGTCAAATTCGAGAGAGCACTGCATATTTTAATAGGCGTCTGAAAATGTAATATTTTTTGGTATTTCTTCTTTTTCTGCGAAAGGGGTAGGATGTTAGAAACAATATTTTGTGGGTATGCACTAGTGACCATAGAGTACCTACCTAAAATTGGAAAAAAAGTTGGGTCATTCCATTTAAAAAAAAATAAGTGATTTGCCTAATTTACTATTGGGCCACCCTGTACACAAGAAAATAATTTTGGGAAATTTGGTTTTGACTACCATTGACAGGTATACTTCGAATAAATCGTTAAGATTTGCATAATAGGAGTTATAGAACTACGACAGAGGTTTGGCCAACCCTGTATATTAAATATTGATGATTCCCCACATAACTGTGTTCTGCAATTGATAATGGAAGGACTATACCTTTCTACGCTAATGGGTTATCGTAATTTATCGAAATAAAGTGTGTTAACTAATAATGGTGATTAGCAAGTACATATTCTTACGTTAACATTTTTACCATAAGGGAAGATATTTAGAAAATTATATATTTATGAAATTCACTTTATAACCCTGTAGAATGGAAACTAAGACGTTCAAGGGAAAATTATATTTAATTATATTTATTTAAGATCTACAGGTCCCCAGCTTACGGTACTTTAATCTGAAACTCCTCTGAATGTACCAGAATATATACCTATATGTTTTCTCTTTTAGACAGACGACAAGGGCGTGTTCCGTACAAATAGTTCAAAAGAATACGAACACGTAATGAAACACTTTAAAATTTCACCTACGGACTTGTACCAATTCAATTACAACTCCGTTGAACAGAGTTTCGCTTCGGATGAAGAAAAAAAGCGACTGATACATGTATTAAACAAGGTATTGTACTTATTTCTTGGAGATATATTCTCTATGGTTCAAATTAAAGATTATTGCGATGAGCCTGTTGATGAACAACTATATCGTGATTTAAATCTGGCCCCTATGTGGAGAGAGTTTTATTAATAAATTTTTTAAGCATAAATGTGTTTTTTTTTGTATTATTCTCGTACTTAATGAGATATATTTTTAGTTTTAATGGGACATGTAAAAATATTTGGCTCCTTTACCTTTTCAGATTGCGCTTTAAACATATTCTGTCTCTCTACTCAATACGCCTCCCCAAGTAAAAATAGTTGGTCCCTTTTTCTTTAAGATTTTATGGAAAAGTTTGGACATATTATCAAATGATGTATTAACCGTAGTAAAATGTATATTTGTCTCGAGACTGATAGTTATTTTGTATTTTTTTTAGATATATTCTTGTTAATGTTTCACTTATTATTTTCTCCTCCCTTTCCAAACCAGTTATAAACATATTTAGAGCATTTGTGAAGCTTCGCTGTTTATACCCCTATAAGAATCTTTATAGTCCTCATCTGACTGCAAAAGTGGCACATCATCTTTTTTGCTTAATATTTGTAGTATGTATACTTTGTTGTTACATTAAGCATTTTAGGTTACAAATTGATTATTTTTTTTTATATAAATATAATGCCAATGTAATTTTTACAATCTGGTGGTTTTTTATTTAAATATATTGTAAATTGTATAAACTTAAATATATATTTTAAAAATATGACAGTGTTTTATTTTTTTTCTTAAAGAAAATCACGAAAAATCGATAGGTCCCCTCATGATTTCTGGCAATATGATTTAAATTTTTTTTTATGACGTACTTTCCAAGAATATGCAGTTTTTTGTCCATCTCTACCAGAAATGCCTCAAAATCTCCGTTAAATTTCATGGTCAGTTAAATGTCGGAAAAACTAATTAATTGCAAGAAAAAGGTAAGAATTGTTTTTTTTTTATATTTATCGTTAATAATTCAAGCTCTAACCAATTTTTTACATTATATAGTTTAGTATTGTTTCCAAAACCGACTGATGTAAATTTGTCATGCTTTTGGTAGCTTTTGAAATTTAAATTTGATTTAATAGATCCGACCCGAATTTTTCAATTAAACTCGAACATATGAATTATTAATGTGAGCGCCCAATTGTTTTGACGCCGAGTCGAACCAGAAATATAACCATAAAATAATAATTTCAAATGCCTTTGCTTTAGTCTATACGATACAACATTATGTGCCAAAATCTGATATCACTATCGTATTTTTCAGTTATATACATAAACTGTTGTCATGGCATTAATAATTAATAGTGATGGTAATAAGTATAATAAGTAAACAGATACCGAAATCACATGGTAGGGAAACCCGTAGTGTCCAAGTTACCGATGATAATGGTTATTCTGCAGACTTTTTATATCGTTTTCAATAATATCTCTGAGAAAGTGATCATTTCTACAATACAATACTTTATTCTGAAAGATTTGAATTTTGTCAATATATTGCACTTTGCTGCACATCTCCAAAACGTTTTCATTTTCGTCCCAATAACCATTCCATTTTTTATATTTTAAGTCCAGTACTTTCATTTTTGCGTTATACGTGCTTTCCATTTTAATCGAACATCCAGGTTTATTTCCAAACATTTTACTATATCATGGTCTCATGTATCTCATTATTTATAAATATTGGTAATTGTTCCTTTTTTATATATAAAGCTAATGAATGAGGATTTGCCTTCATTTATTCTTGTTTTCCATATCTTGTTCCATTTAGTTTATACTTAGTTTATAGTTTCTTCGCTGTCATGCCTCACGGCTAGCACACCTGTATTGTCAACATAAGTACCTACTGATCGCCACATATTTAGTTTGTTGTATATCACAAGTGTACAACAGGTGAATCACTGGTTCTTTGTGGTACACATGTCTTAATATTTTTGATTATAGAAAATGCTTCCTCCACAGTGGCGTAACTACAAATTTAGGCCCCCCCGCAACTTTCAACATAAGCCCTAATAGACAAGAATTTTAAGTAGTAATTAAAACCTAAAAACTTTTTTGTGGGGATTCGCTTAAGTATTCTTTTTTAGAATTTTACACAAAAACTGTCTTTTAAAATAACGAAGGGTTGAATTGGATGTCAATCCTAGTACATACGTACTACATTCTTGTTAGATAAATTAAATAATAAAATTTATAAACTTGTTCATTGTACTAATCATCTTAAATCTGATAAGTATAAGTAAACTGTATAAAAAATAAATGAACCAAATCTATATAGTTTCTAAGAACACTATTTTCTAGCTTTTTTCCAGAAAATAAAGTAATGGCTTGGCCAATGTCAATTTCTCGCGCCAAATCATTTTCGATTGCCAAAAGTGCTAGAGAATACAGTCTGTCTTGAGAAATTTTGTTTCTCAAATAATTTTTAATTATTTATAATTTAGAGAAAGACCTTTCATTACTTGCGACGCTTATGGGTGAAGTCAAATACATTATCAGAGCTTTAATTGTATTAGAAAAGCTAGATACGCATGTAGGATTATCAACTAACAAATATTTTAAAAACTCAGTTATATAATAATAATAATAATACTCTCCCTAATTCACCCCCTTACGAGTGAATTTTAACCCCAAAAGCTGAGCTTGTGCGGGGAAAGGGACGGATATTATTATTTGCCGTGGCGCTCCGGGGCGACTTAAAGATGATTGATGGTGCCATTTGACTTACAGGTGAGGAAAACCTCACCCACCATCATCGAGACCGTAATGCATGGCGATTTTATAATCTGCATATCATATCAACAGAAATTGAATTTCTATTAATACGGCACACATCAAATCATATACCGAACCATGTAATTTAATTAAAAATCCACATGGTCTGGTCTGAGATTCGAAGCCCGTCTGTCTCTGACCATAAACTTGCCTATAAATGAATATAAGCGTGTTAGACTGCTACACCACCCACCCGACAATATTTTCAATATTCTGAAGATCTTTACATAATAATTTATTATTTCTTATGGCAACTAGTCCAAGACCTAAGGATTCAGTTTTATTAAAATCACGTTTATAAAATATTTCCAACTCATCGCTTTTTTTGACAAAAATTTCTGGCGCTAATTTAAAAAGCATAGATGGGTTTAGGAAACTAAATTTTTCATTAACATGACAAAATGATTCAAAACGATACTTTATTTGAACGTTTATGATATCCAATGTTGCAATAGTACATTTTTTTTCCAGAAATCATATATACTTGCCTGCATAGAATTCGGCCTACTGTAAACTTTTGACTTTAACTATATTTTTTTTTTTAATTATTGAACAACATTACTCTTATTAATTTAGACAACATTAATGCATATTAAATTGTCTTTCAAACAGCATATTTTTTTTTGATCTGATAAAACAACAGTTAAAAAATGTTCTTTAATTTTTGTTGATAAACCCTGCCAGTCATTAAGTCCCGATATCCATCTTGACCCTAATCTATGCTGAACAGTGCTAAACAGCTAACATGGCTGACAATAAGCAAGATCTTTGTTTTTCGAATAACACACCCAATTATTATTTTTAGTGTAATAATAACTTTTTGAAAAGTATCTTTGTTTTTGATCCATCGGAAAAGGACCATTAGGCTTTGATAGTCCATAATCAATAATTAGCTTCCTTAGTTTATTAAATTTTGAAATGTCAACATTTGATAAATGCGCAAAATTAGTAGGATAGGTATTATTAACATTAAAAAGGGTAACCGAATTATTTTCTTCAATTTCTGCAACCTATATCATGAAACTGCTGTGTCTGCTTCACTATCGATATCTGGTTGAGTAGTACTGGTATCTACAGTGTCTATGCTCATGGGATATGTTTTTATTAAATTTTCAGTTGGTCTTGGTATAATTGTAATTGAATATTAACATGAACACTCGCGCCACTCGTAGAGGGAGTCTTCTTGCTTCATCAAACAATTTTCTCCTTTTTTCCTAAGCTCCACTTAAAAATAAAAAAAACTATCAAGACAAATAGCTAGGTATTAAGTTTTTTAATAAAATCTGCAATTTTAGAAAAACGGAGTACAGTGTGGTAACGCTGCGCCAGGAATTCTCAACTGACTGCAGACTATGTTTAGTATTGTCTAGAACACAGCCCAACACAACATAATATTTGAAGCCAAACTAGCTAAAGAAATTGACACGAACACAATATTATTAAAATATACATACTTAATTACTTGCTCTGCTGACTTTTAACACCTGTTAACCACTAACCAATAACGACACGCATCTTTAACAAGTGTAAATTAGTAAACTACACTTTATACACAGGTTCCAGAGTTGCAGCATTTTACAATGTTCTCACTAGTTGTCACGTATGATTTTTTAAGCTACTTTACTTACAAAATATTTTTAAAGTCAAGATTTACCCTTTTACAAATGTTTTTTTTTATTTTCTTTCTTCGCAACCGGTCGGCGGTCGGCCGCCGGGGGTCCTTTTCTCCTCTGTCCAACCGGTTAGCCGGAGGCCCCCAGTACCAGCGGGCCCCCCCGCGTCGCGAGGGCTTGCGGGGGTGTAGCTACGCCACTGTTTCTCTCAGAGAAAAAAAAATTACCAATAAAAACTACTGAAGAAGGCACTGTACAGTGCTAAAAGCTATAACCACACACACGAGTTTTATTTAATCTACAAACCCCTAAAAACGCAAGAACTACAAGAAAAAAAGATAGTGCCTGTCCTTAATTGTGGATGTTTAAGCTTTCGGGTGCGGTCGCCGATATTCGTATCAGTTCGAAGTGTTTTAATATTAAATATTTAATGTCATCATCATCTAACCCTTCTAAAATAGTAATTTCTAATGCCTCTTATACCGGGTGTTCAAATTAAAGTGTTACAGTTAAATATCGCCGAAAATATGCATTTAAGAAAAAAGTTTTAGACAAAAGTTTTATAGTTTTTTGGGGGAAACATTTTGGCTAAATTCATTTTTTTATAGCTGACCATAATATGGCCATATCGAGGTGTACTTTGTTTTTTTAAATTGGAACCCCTCATTTTTTTTATATATTCTTAAAGTACATAAAAAAATAAGAAACTTTTGAGGGAAATATTTTTTTTATTGGATTTTTACTTTTTGAGTAACAGTTACTTAAAAATTTTGCTGGGCAAAAAAAAGTTGGCCATATTATGGTTAACTATAAAAAACGATTTTAGCCAAAATTTTTTTCCCACAAAACTATAAAACTTTCGTCTGAAATGCGGTATTTTGCTGTAACACTTTAATTTGAACACCCGGTATATTATGTACCATTATATTATAAAAATAAATATTATAAATCGGTAAAGTATATTATCCAGAACTTCCTTCGATATGGAAATTATAAAAACTGGGAACGCCTAAGTACTTAAATTTTAATAATTTAAAATTAAAACCAAACACTCTTTTTCACATTTGTCTCTCCATTGATCTTTCTCTTGATCACATCCGAAATCTCACTCCGCGCCCGCTCGGTATTCTTCGTCAAGTTCACCGAACAATAATGATTGGCTGTTATTAAAATGGTCCAGTTGCACAAACCAAAAGGACGATTTTTTTATTCTAAAATTCTCATATACCATTTTAGTCGAAATCTGCCGACTTTATAAATATATTTTTTTTAAAACTACTCACCTTATATATAACTGATCGGAAGTATAACTGGTTTTGAGCAAGAATATAACCTTATCTGCATACGAAATTTGAAGTTTTTCTATTAGAGGGAAAGCCCACTCACGCGACATGTCGCACGCAACTGATCGCACGCGGCAATACTTTTGATGTTTTTAAATGACCACGCGACAGAACCGCGTTAATGGGCTTTGAGTCATTTAAAAACATCAAAAGTATTGCCGCGCGCGATCAGTCGCGCGCGACATGTCGCGTGAGTGGGCTTTCCCTCGCCGTTTTTGAGATATCGTGCCAACAGACAGACGACAGACAGCCCGACGGAATGGGAAAATATGTTGTTCGTAATCTAGGAACCCTAAAATGTGAAAATCTGAAATAATCTCGGAATGTGACTTTTTCACGATAACAATACTTCCCTTTTATAGAGGGAAGTAAAAAATATGAACAGTAATTTAAAATTTTTAAAATGAGGTTAGAACAAAGTCAAAACTTCAGGTTTGCAATAAGTCTTATTTTAGCATGAAATTTATTTGCCTCTAATTATGTTGTCACTATTAGTGGACGACATTATAGAAATTTGCAATATCTATATTATAAGAATATTACTGTTAAAAATCTTTTTTGTTAGCATAACTTTTTCTTCATGTATTTTTTTATATCGTTTTCACTAATACATACTTCGGAATAACATTAACTTTAATGTTTGTTGAGTATTCTTAAAATATCATTGTTGAATGTTTCTTTAAAAAGCCCAGCCTATTTTTAATAATTCTCCAGACTTCATATTTTTTTTATATTGTTTTCACTTAAACGTACTTCGGAATGATATTAACTTCAATCTTTGTTGGTTAATATTAAAATATTACTGTTAAAAATATTTTTTGTAAGCATAACTTTTTAATAGTTGAAAATTGTGAGTTTAATATATCGTAGATCGCAAATCATCGAAATTTGAAAGCTCAGAATTATCTGAAATCTCAAAAACCCCCTACGAACTATTAAGACCATCCCCGAACCCCAAAGGTGAAAAGTCATACTTCAAGATTTAAAAAAAAGCCTGTCAGCGGTGGGATTCGTACCCAGACATCTTTGTTCTGTACACAAATACTCTATCTCTAAACCATCGCAACATTGACTGTCGAGATTCCTAGCCGGCATGGCAGTTTGATGTAAATTCGGGCCAAGCGCCGTTTCAGGTTCGTTCTCAAATCTTCAAATACCTCTATACAGCATCGGTCAAATACACTCAAATCTCCAAAAATAATTCCTCCACTATCGCCCAAACCTGGAAAAAATAGCACAATACAGTCATTCTTTTTAGAACCTGTAGATATAAATGAAGTAAAAGAAATTATAAAAACGTTAAAAATAAACAAAACACCAGGGTATGATAAACTAAAAAGTGAGATATTTAAGGAAATAGTTCATGAGATTGCAAATCCCCTTAGCCATTTAATTAATAAAATTTTTGAAACAGGAATTTTTCCCACTGACCTTAAAAAATCAGTGGTTATCCCAGTTCATAAAAAAGGACCCAAAAATAAAATGAGTAGATTAGATTAGATTAGATTAGGAGTTGGACGTTATTTGTCCTTGTCCACCGCGACCTTTTCAGATCTATTGTGGGACTCCGTTTGTTTTAGAGTATGTCGTCTAGCCTGGTCTTTTTTATTAGACTTAGTAGCTTTGACAGTGGCTCCCGCATGTAGTTGCATGCAATTGGCTTTTCTTCGCCCAATGTTAGAAACCTCATTCCAGCCAAGCCTTCACATTGGCACAGGACGTGGAATGATGTTTCCTCTTCTTCTTCACAGAACCTGCACAAAGTTGCTTCTTCTGCTGGATTTATGACACTCATGTGCCTTTTGAGGCGACAGTGTCCAGTAAGAAGGCCTACTGTTATCCTAACGATTTGACGTTTTTGATCCAGTAGGTCTTTCGTAAACTTGGCCGATGGTTCCTTGATGAACTGTTTGGCCTGTCTCAGTCTTGGATAGTTGTTCCACCATTCCTGAGACTCTTTTTGCATCCATTGTTTAATGGATGCCTTGCACAGTGCCTTAGCGACTCCACAAAAGGGTTCAGGGCCTGTCATGGCCTTATCTGAGCCTTCTCGGGCTAATTCGTCGGCCTTTTCGTTGCCCTGATATCCCTCATGGCCTGGAACCCAGGCTAAGGTCACCTTATTTTGACTACTTAGCTCTGTCAGGTCTTCTAGACAGTCTTTCACCAGTCGTGATTTGATTTCTGGTGAGAGAATTGCCTTTAGAGCTGCTTGGCTATCAGAGTATATGGCAATAGTTTTGCCTGATACTTGCTGATTTAATAAAATGAGTAACTACAGACCTATTTCCTTAATTACCACTTTATCAAAAATCGTGGAAAAAGCTTTGAAAAATAGACTAACTAAATACATTGATAAATATAATATTATAAGTTCAAAGCAGTATGGTTTCCAAAACGGCTTATCTACCACTGATGCTATGTGTCATCTAACAGATATATTGTACAGTAATATAGATAAAAGCGTTCCCACAATGGGTATTTTTCTTGACCTGGCAAAGGCTTTCGACACTGTATGTCATATGCAGCTGTTGGAGGTCTTAGAGGAAGTGGGTGTCAGAGGTAAATCTTTGGACCTTTTCTCTAGTTATTTAAGTGAAAGGGTTCAAGCAGTAAAAATAAATAAATATGTAAGCTCTTATAAACCTATAAAATATGGTGTCCCACAAGGTACTATACTCGGGCCAATTTTATTTCTCCTATATATTAATAAATTATTAGTTTCAAAAGAAATAAAAGGAGAAGTAATAAGCTTTGCGGATGACACATTAATCTTATACTCGGCTAAAACTTGGGACGCAGTTAAAGAACTTTGTGAAAATGATTTAAAAAATGTGTTTGATTGGTTTTCGCATTACAAATTAACAATAAACATGGATAAGACATTAGCCATTCCGTTTGCAAGCTATAAAACAGGTCTTCCTAAATTGAATAAACTTACAATCATAAATCATGGACACCAAATAAATATTTTCCTCAAACATGAGGCTAAATATCTAGGAATTCATATAGATTCTCATTTGAAATGGGATAAACACATAAATAACATTGTAAATAATTTAAGACAAGTTTTATATAAATTTAAATATATGAGAAATTGTTTAGACATAACTCACCTGAAAATTTTATATCACGCATTTGTGGAGTCACGTTTATCATATGCCATATTAGTCTGGGGCTCAGTTTTGCTGACCCACCTAAAAAAACTTGAGATCATTCAAAAAAAAATAATTAAAATAATGTATTTTAAAGATATAACTTACCCTTCAGACCTATTGTTTCAAGAAACACATATTTTTGATATTCGACAACTCTTCGTTTATAATGTTGCAAACTATCTTTACAAAAATAGATCTTCAATCTGTGGAATTGAACACACTTATGAAACTCGAACTAGACATGCAGGAAATACTAGAATTCCTATTGCCAAAAAAGCATTAGGTCAGAGGAAACTGAGTTATTTAGCAAAAAAAAATTTATAACTTTTTTCCAGATATTTACAAATTGTACATAAGGAGTATAAATTCATATAATCTTTTTAAGTCTAGAATAAAATCATTTCTTAAAATTACCGATAGAAATATATTACATTCTTTGATAGATAGTTGTAGTTAGTTTAAAATATTACATTACTTCATAGCTATAATTTATATGTATATTATAATGCTGTTAAAAGAAAAAAATAATAAATAGAGCAAATAATTTAAATAAATTATCAAGCCCATGCACAACCCTTAGGTTTTATGGGTCACCTGTGTTTATTTACAATATTTATTATATTTGTAATTTTTATTTTAGCGTATCACTGTAAAAACAAATCTGTAAATAAACATTATTATTATTAATATTATTATATGTTTTCACCTTTGGGGTTGACTTTACTAATTATTTTTAATAATTCTCCAAACTTTTTCATGTAATTTTTATGTTTGTTGGGCAATCTAAATATCACTGTTAGTTTTTTTTTTTGGAAGCTCAGCATATTTTTACTGATTCTCCAGAATTGAATTCTTCATGTATTTTTTCTATATTGTTTTTAGTTAAACGTACTTGAGAATGATATTAACTTCAATGTTTGTTGATTAATAAATATCATTCTTAAAAATGTTTTTTAAGAAGCTTAGCCCATTTTTAATTATTCTCCAAACGTTTTCATATTTTTTATATCGTTTTCGCTAATACATACTTCGGAATGATATTAACTTCAATGATTGTTGGCCAATATTAAAATATCACTATTAAATTTTTTTTTAGAAGCTCAGTACTAATTCTCCAGACTTTTTCATATTTTTTTTTATATTCTTTTTATATAAACATACTTCATCCTTCTACTCATACTTCTCCACTGTTAAACATCATCTTTTTTAAGAAGCTCAGACTATTTTTAATAATCTTCTAAACTTGTTCATATTTTTTTATATCGTTTTCACTAATACATATTTTGGATTGACATAATTTGATATTTGAATTGCAACATTTCATTATAATTTCGCGCGTGCGCTTCCAGCGATTTTACGAAAACTCTAGACGATGCGTTTTGCTTCAGTTTTCCATCTACCGCGGCCGCTGGGAGATCGTAACTTTTCACCGGTTTTCTTTCGCCATGTGAGTAGACGAGACGTCCCGGAAAATTTCCGCCGATATTTCTTCTCGAATTTTTTTCTTAGAATCAAGAAAAATTAATAGTGCGTAGTTGAAGTTTTTGTTTTGTGGAAAAGTGAAAAATTTTTATATTGAAAAATTTTGATAAAAATCAAAAGTTATAGAAAGTTATAGAAACTAAGAGAGATAGATAACACCATAAAAATATATTTTAAAACTTAAAAAAAGAACAAATGGTGAAAGGTAATAATTTATTAAGTTACCACATTGTTTTTTTTAATGTGAATCTAAGGAGTTACTTCGCTCTCTTTTAATATTTAAATATTGTTCTTAACAGTAGATTCCAAAAATTCAGGTCCATTTTTTAGGAGCTTAATAATCAGTTTACCTATATTTTCTAGATTTTTCAATGTGACCACAATTAAAGAAAAAATAACATTCAAATTATTACAAATTTCAAACAATAAAACAATGTCTGCTACAGACAACAAAGACCAAACGTACCCCAAGAAAACTTTCTCCAAACTACCCGTGCACCAAATCAACCCCAGTTATACAGTGCGCGTCATCTGTTGCGTGTTCTTCATCTTCCTCACGGAGATATTCCTCGCCCACTACGTTTACAGATTGATAAACAGCGAAATTCGCGAGGACTACGTTTCGAAAGCCGCGTTCCATCATCATTTTCTGTTGGAGCTGCGCAGCGACGAGTTTAGAAACGAAGTTAGGAGAATTTTTAAGGAGTTTGATGGTTCGCACGTCAATCGTACGTCGAGCAGAGAGAAGAGAAGCATTAAACACAGATTGGAGTATAATTATTTGGGCGTGCAGGCGGAGGAGCCCCAAGTGGAGTTCTTCAATCCGAAATTGAGGACCAATGCCGACGAGAAAGAGGAGGATATGAAGAAATTGGGGAAGAAGGAGATATCGCCCGGTGGGGATTCTTGGATTTGGGTTACAAGCTCTAGTAGAATACCGGTAAGTTTTGTAGAAGAGTCGAATTATAACAGATACAACTGAAATAATTTTGGTATCACTAACCAATCTCGTGCACGCAATCTTCAGCACTGGAGTATTTCCGCCTTTAAAAAAGTTAAAAGCTATTTTCTTGATAACTATAGACCAATTTCTATAAACAGTGTTTTCAGTAAAGTGGTGAAAAAAGGTTATAAAGCAGAGGCTATATGATTACTTTAATAAAAATAATTTATTTTGAGAATCACAATTAATGCAGGTTATAGCTAAGTACTCTTTAGCAAAAGAGCTAAAGAGTACTCATTTGTTTCACTTAAATCATGGTTTATGATATTATCATATTCACGAAAATAAAAATCTCTAAAAATCTGAATTTCATCAGCAAAAAATTGTACATCACAATTATTGACCTGTTTGTTTAAATTAGATATGTACATATATCAAAAACAAAAATGAACCCAAGACAGATCCTTGAGGTATGGATCGATTACGATGAAGACATTTGACCATCCACTAAGCACTGAATGCGGTTTCATAAATAACTTTTTATAAAGGGTTAACCCACGGCACTTAGGCCTTTACTAGGCCCATTGTGCAATCTCCTAAGTAGATAGACAACTCCTAGCTCGTGAGCCAGCCTTCAGATTTAATGTAGTTGACAACGTCGCCAAGAGGTGATTCTCTTATATCGGCCGGTGTTAGCCGATTCTCGCCGAACAGAAAACTTGTAATAAATGAGAGCGTCGGGCAATCGTAGAAGATATGCTCGATGATCTCATCTTCTTGTTCACACTGCCTGCAGAGTGCGTATTCTAATATGGAGATGCTTCTGTACTTAGCAATGACCAGTCAGAATGCCTGTGATCAGGCGCAGATTCGGTCTAGTCTGTCACATATTTATTTGTTGTAGTGTTGTCAGGATAACTTAAAAGCTCCCTGGCAAGTCTGCAGCTTCTTTTTGAATCTCATCTTTCCTTGAATTTCACAAGGAAATGTTCTTTAATTAGGTTTGTTACTAGCCATCTTGTTAGTCCAATAGAAGGGACAGGTCCAAAAAGTATTTGGTCAGCTACCTTCTTGGCTAGTGATTCAGGAAAACAGTTACCTTTCGATGTGGCGTGATCTTTGATCCATCTTAAATTGACCACATGGTTGATGGATACTTCGGCCAAAGCTTCGTGACATTCTAGTACTAAACCTGAGTTAATTCGTGGTTTGGCCAGGGTGAGTAGTGCTTGTCTGCTGTCTGTATAGATAAGCATGTTTCTTCTAGTGATATTATTTTGCTGCTATGAGAATCCCCGTGAGCTGGGTTTGAACTATAGTGGTGCTACTGCTCACAGCTCATTTTATGTTTAGGTTTATGGATCTGGAGTATATTCTACATCCTGAGCCTTGTTCTGTTTTAGAACCGTCGGTGTAGATATGAATTGTACCTGCCATTTCCGGCTCTTCTATTTGTTATTTATAAGGCTTGTAGGAGATATGTCTCGGTGGGATGATCCATGTTCACTTGAAGTAGTGGGAGACCTAGGTGTTTGCAAAGTTTAGCTTGGTCTTTAGGAGTTCTGGAGGTATTAATGGTCCTTGCATCACTGTTCTATAATTTTGAGAGCTACTTGCATTCTTTCGCAGAGTATGTTCTTAAAATTCCCTGTTTGCAGAATGACCAGGTCATCTTCATACGTTTTTGTGTAGTGACTCACTATTGAGGCGGCTGATGTGGGTGTCGAGGACCATGTTCCACAGTAGAGGTGATTATATCGAATCCATGGTAGGAGCACTTAGATGCTAGAAGTTTTTGATTTAGCGTGTCAAATGCTTCACTAAAATCCGAAAGAATCAGGATACCAGCTTTTCCAATACATCTTCTCCTACGGTCAAAACGGCAGTGTCATCTGCAAAGGTGACTATTGTATTATTTTTTAGTTCTGGAATATCACTGGTTGGTGTATAGTAGATAGAAGATAGGTCTATGATACTCCTGCTTTGATTTGTTTTAGTTTCGAGTAAACTTCTTCCTGCTTTATTCTAAATCTGTAATCTATAATTTGTGTGTATTAGGCAATGTCATGTTTAATTTAAGTTTAAGCCCCAGTGTTATACTTTGTCGAAAGCTTCTAATGATTTTTCAAGATGTTCGTCTTTCGGTGGACTTGGTCAATGTATTTTTCTTAGTTGTAAGAAATGAACATTGAAACGACGTACCAAAATAGATTGATCAATACCTTTTAGAGGATATATTCCATGAAGTTTACTATAAGAATTTAAGAAAGTTTCGTTGAACTTTTCAAATGAATTTTTATGTTATTTAATACTGTGGATCCCAAACAATCAATGCGTATTCAAGTTTAGCTTTTATAAGTTCGAAAAATAGCACTTTTAGAGCAATTTCGTTAAAAAAGTTTTGCAATTTATGAAAACAATTTTTCATTATAATAATTATGAATGAATACCGATTGCAGTTTTTTAGAAGCCTTTTTAATAAAGTGTGATATGACAAATACAAATAAAAGAAAGGCAGCTTAATTCCTGAACGTGTATAATATAAAGAACATGCAAATACTTGGGAAATTATTGGAAAATCGTTTTACCGTTATTATTTTAGTATTATCATCTCGCGTTCGGTTTGGGTCTTGGTTCCTTCAAATTAATTTACAGGTCGAGTCAAAATAGATATTTTATGGCTTCAGATACCGAAAATTGGTACATAATAACAACCTTTCTATAAATTATAGTCTTCAGGATGGATGGTACCAAAATAAAAAAAAAATTTCTACAAACATCATTATAAGTAGACTTTTAAAAGGAATAAGCAATAGCAAAAATAACAAATTAATCATGTTAATAGTACAATTTGAACAACTAGAAAGTAAGAATATTTTACAGCGATTACCTCCATTCAATTCGACTCAAATCTCTTACCACCCACAAGTTAATTTAAGTTTGAAAAACAGATAATAGTGGCAGGGGCCTAAATCTATAAATATCGTGGATAAAGAATCAATTCTTGTTATTGCAACGTCCTGGTGTAAGAGCACTTTTTTCTCCAAATGAATCTCAAAAAACTGTGGCCATGACTTTGTTGGCGAGTTTTTAATTTGGAGAATTTCGGATTTTGGTAGTTGACCATCAATAAAAAAACTAAAATATGTTTGTAGCATTTTGGATATATCTAATTTTATAGTTTATTTGAAAAATTTGTATGACCAAGGAGATAAACCCCAATATAACATTATAAATCAGTGACGGAGAATTTCTAAAATAAAATGATTAGTATTATTTGTTCCAAAATAAAATCTTTGGTTTTCTTCCTAAAATTTTCAAAAATACCAATTTATTTCAATTCTTGTCTTAATTTTTCAATCAACAAAAATAAGGTAAGTATATAATCTCTACAGGTAGAAAGTATTTACAATTCAAGATCAATTTAAGTAGCCCTCAATTTTCTTAGAAAGGCAGAATGTAGATATGTAGATTGTAAATTATTTTAATCAAGATTTACATTTCTGTTTGTATAGTCCTGTGATTGTAACACGCAGTACTGTTAGTTCTGTAATAAAAGGCGATAAAAAGCGATATTGATCAAGTAAATTTATGCAATAAAAATGGCACAAACGTCTAATTATACTCCTGTTACTCCTGTAAAAGTACATTTCAATAGTACTGTTCGGAGTATAGTTTCTAAGTGTTCAAATATGACCGGAGCTGGAGAAGCAATCATTTATAGACATTTGAAGCAACGAAAGGATGGAAGTATTACATCACCTAAAACGTCAACTGGGAAAAACTCATTCAAATAGATAACTGATCCGAAGAAAAGGGTCAAAATTTGTTCGTGGCACCCAACAATTTTTCGTCTCCGGCGGAGTACCTGCATGATACATTGGCCTGGAACAACCTGGGTGCTAAGGCACTGCTCATACTTAAATTGAGTTTAGCTAGTTTTATTAAAATTTACGATTTATTTGAAAATATAGACGAATATCTTATTGAATGCTATTGTTAATTGATTCTTCACAAGAATCACACATTTTTAATTGATATCCATGTTTATGTCAAGAATAACATTCTGAAACCTCAGATAATTCGCAATAATTGGTTACCAGTCAATTTTTGGCAAACATCAGATACGTTTGCCTCGACCTGTACAAAACGGAAATGAGGACAACGGGGCATTCTACAAGCAATTATTCTGGCACCGGCAGCATGGACCTTTTTTGTTATGAATTATAATTAAAATACCCCGTGGAAGGATATCTCGGATTCTCGAACAATTTTCAATATCTAACGGGCTTAACATGGCAATGATATTAATACCTGCCGCTTGAACCCTTATCGAAATTGCTCTTTTTTCTGCCAGACCAGTGACGTTCCCTAAATATAATTTTTTGGTTTTACATTCTTACAAAAATATTCCAAATTGATAGAAGAAGATGGATAATTTATTAAGCTATTGAATTTTAAAAATTCTCAAAATAGTACTCATCAAACAAGATGAATCAAAAAAATCAAAGCAGGAGTACCACAGGGAAGCGTCCTGGGTTCCAATTTGTTCCTGGATTGGTTTTATGATTGAGTGTATCTTTTGCCAAGACTAAGGAAGAAACAGCTAACAAATTAAAAACTTTTTTGTAAATAGCATAATAATATATGAAATAACAAATACAATAGCTCCGATCGAGGATTGGTCACCAAAATTTTTAAATGATGTTAAGTCAACATTAACCGATTTTAAATTGATATCAATAGATGAACTAACAAAAGCTGTTTTTTAGGGAACATATTTACAGTTGGAAGCAATTACTCGATAAAAATAAATATATTGTAGCAGTCTTTCTAGACTTCAAAAGAGCTTTTGAGATAATAGATCGTCAAATTTTGATCAAAAAATTTAAATATTACGGTTTTGCACGAAGAGTCCTGATCTGGTTTGAACAGTGTTTGACCAATAGGTAGGTTACAATGTTACAGTTTGATTTAACATTGATACCATCTATATA